GCGGGTGATGCGGCTGTGGATCCACACGAAAATCTGTGCAGCCGCACCACCCACAGAGAAGAATGCGGACCCGCGGGCGGGTGCCATTACTTCTAATGGCACGCCTCCTGCACTGGAAAGCGCAACCGTACTGGGAACTGAGGTTTCTGTGCGGGCTGTATTTTTCAGAAAAGTGCAGGGACTTCTTCCCTTCATGTCACGGGGCATGGGAGTACATTCAAATGAATGGGCTCTCGTGCCCACGCAAAAAATGCGGCCCGCACGGCCGCATATATGTGAACCAGGGGTGAAGCTTGCTAAATTAAGATTTGACAAAAATCGTGGAAGCAGATTGGTTTCTATGCATAGCTGCACCCAGGGGCGGACTGACAACTCATGGGGCCCCCGGGCAATTGGGGATCATGGGGCCCCTGTGTCCTTGCCCAAACTCAAAAAAAAAAAGCCTATGAAAAAAAAGTTACTAGGGGCATCTCATGGGGCCCCCTACTGACCCCTGGCCCTCGGGCAGTGCCCGAGTTTCCAAATGGTCAGTCTGCCCCTGGCTGCACCAGATTTTGCACTCTCCAGTTTTAGAAAATCAACCCCATCAGGCCCAGACAGGGACAAAAAAAAATAGGTCCGGGGATTTTGGACTGGGCAGCCCCAAGCCCATGCACCCTTTCCTCGGAGTCCGGTGGCCCGGTCACAAGAGTGACCTTTGCGACCCTGGTAGTTCCGCCACTAGCTTCATTAGATTTTTATTTTATTTTTTACAATTTTATATTTTTCTTATTTTTTTTTACCCTTTTTTTTGTTGGAGCCCCTTTGGGGGATTTTGGTGAGAGGGAAAGAAAGGAAGAGAGGAGAGACAGAGAGATAGAGAAAGAAAGAGATCTAGTGAAAGAGAGAAGGAAAGAAAGAGGAGACAGAGAGATAGAAAAAGATATAGAGAGAGAGAAAAAAGGAAAGAAAGAGGAGACAGAGAGAGAAGGAAATGAAGAGAGAAAGAGAAGACAGAGTGAGAGAGAGAAATAGAGAGAAGGAAGGAAATAAGAGAGAAAGAAAGAAGAGAGAGAGAGAGAAAGAAGGAGAGAAAGCGGAGACAGAGAGAAAGAAAGAAAGTGAGAGGGAGAAAGAAAGAAGAGACAAAGAAAGAAAAAGATATATATAGAGAGAGAGAGAGAAAAAAAAAAAAAAAAAAGGCAAGAAAGAAAGAGGGAAAGGAGGAGACAGAAAGAGAAAAAGAAGGAAAGAAATTAAGAAAGAAAGAAAGAGAAAAAAGAGAGAGAGAGGGAAAAAAAAGAAGGAAAAGGAAGGAAGGAAAGAGAGAGAGAGAATAGATCTAGAGAAAGAAAGAGAGAGATAAAGAAAGGGGAGGGAAGACACAAACCTGCCCGGGAGTGTGGGCGGGGCAGACACAGGGGGAAAGGGTGGGAGGAGGAGGGGCAGAACCAGCTCTCTCTCTCTCCTCTCCCCTCTGTGGTGGGGGGGGCGCGGGACTGTCAGCACTGTGGACAGTCTATTCTGACAGATGCTCCACAGCAGCTGCAGGGAGGGGGGAACCTGGCGGCAGTGCTGCAGAAGATGAGGGGGGGCCGGCCATGGGGAAAATACAGGAGCCCAGGGCACCAAGCGATGGATTAGGAGGGCGGGCCGGGTGGCACATAGAGAAACGGGATCGTGCATTTCTCCAGAAGAGAAAAATGGGGCGACCATCGGGTGGCAGGAGGTCATGACCCAACTTATACCATAGTGCCACGTCCCTAATTAATTGTAATGGAGAAAAAGATATTGAGTGGACTTTTTAGGCACAAAAACTTGGTACACAAAAGATAAAATCAATGTTCCTTTATTCACATATCACCTCTAAAATATATCTTGTATATAGTTAAAATTACATTGCACACTTAAACCACAGCTGATTTCCCACAACCAACCAACCATAACAAACTGGTTCCAACAAGGGTGTTGAGTACAGAAGGTGAGGACAGTATATTTCTTTCAAAAGGTGGGGAATATTCAAGCTGTGCAACAGACGCCCGACACGTTTTGCGACTGAAGTCGCTTCTCTAGGGGCTAGCAATGCATCTGAGATTAATAAACTTGAACAATATGGATATATATGAATTTAGACAGAAATACAACATAAGAAACACTTATAAACACTTACAGTGGGGATCGAAAGTTTGGGCACCCCAGCTAAAAATTTGTATTAATGTGCATAAAGAAGCCAAGGAAAGATGGAAAAATCTCCAAAAGGCATCAAATTACAGATTAGACATTCTTATAATATGTCAACAAAAGTTAGATTTTATTTCCATCATTTACACTTTCAAAATAACAGAAAACAAAAAAAATGGCGTCTGCAAAAGTTTGGGCACCCTGCAGAGTTAATATCTTGTACTGCCCCCTTTGGCAAGTATCACAGCTTGTAAACGCTTTTTGTAGCCAGCCAAGAGTCTTTCAATTCTTGTTTGAGGTATCTTTGCCCATTCTTCCTTACAAAAGTCTTCCAGTTCTTTGAGATTTCTGGGCTGTCTGTCACGCACTGCTCTTTTAAGGTCTATCCATAGATTTTCAATTATGTTGAGGTCAGGAGATTGTGAAAGGCCATGGCAAAACCTTCAGTTTACGCCTCTTGATGTAATCCCCCGTGGATTTCGAGGTGTGTTTAGGATCATTATCCATTTGTAGAAGCCATCCTCTCTTTAACTTCAGCTTTTTTCGCAGATGGCATCAAGCTACCATCCAAAATTTGCTGAAATTTTATTGAATCCATTTTTCCTTCTACTCGTGAGATGTTCCCTGTGCCACTGGCTGCAACACAACCCCAAAGCATGATTGATCCAACCCCATGCTTAACAGTTGGACAGAGGTTCTTTTCATTAAATTCTGTGCCCCTTCTTCTCCAAACGTACCTTTGCTCATTCCGGCCAAAAAGTTCAATTTTAACCTCATCGGTCCACAGAACTTGTTTCCACTTTTGCAGACGCCATTTTTTTGTTTTCTGTTATTTTGAAAGTGTAAATGATGGAAATAAAATCTAACTTTTGTTGACATATTATAAGAATGTCTAATCTGTAATTTGATGCCTTTTGGAGATTTTTCCATCTTTCTTTGGCTTCTTTATGCACATTAATACAAATTTTTAGCTGGGGTGCCCAAACTTTCGATCCCCACTGTACATAGTTAGCTATTGTGCATTGTGTGACAATAAACTCCCCAGCGCAAGCAGAACCAGGTCCCTCCAGGCTAACAAAGAAGGGTAGCACCCACTGTCGGGTGTGGGGGTGCATAAGCCAGACTATGGGCAGGTGAAAAACCCCACAAGACTCCCCAGACGATCAGCAGGTAAAGATTGTCAAACAGAAGTGCTGGTTGGTGGTCTACAACCTCCGTATAATAGTCCAGCCACATCTGGGTTGATAATGCCAAAACAATATGAGCCTAAAAAAGACCATAAAATATAAATTGGCTGTTATCCCGCTGAAACACGGGTATTACGGCATGGGCCCAAATCCATAAGAAGAATTTACCTCTATGCTTGAAAAGATGTATCAATCATGGAGACCAATATGTATGCAATCCCTCACTAGGGAGTAAAAGGTTGCGGTTGTGTCTTGGGCCAGCCGGCCCGCGTCTACTCCCCCTGTGGCCATTGTGCTCCCGGGGATGGTGGTGGCTGCCGTACTGGTTTGCCCGTGGATTGGGGAGCATTGGATCTCCCCGGATCCTTTCTTCTCCCCATCTACGTGGGTAGTCCCATGGTCACAAATTGTCAGGATGGGCTCTGCGTGTGCATGGACTAGGATTGCGTCACACGCCGAGCATTGTTGGTGTGCCTAGTTTGAGTGTATATAAGTGGCGTGGGCCGGTGTACTGCCTCTTGGGACTCCTGTACCCCTGAGTGGACCTCATTGGTGACTCCACAGACTTTGGGCTTCTTTGTGGTTGCAGGTAGACTACATCCCTTTGGGGTGATAAATACTATAGATGGTTTGGGGTTATGAACATAGAGGGGAGTCACACTAATGGGGGCACCTTGTTTTCTCCTTTTTTCTTCTAGGCCAACTAGTTTCTATACCTATTATTGGCGACAACCTATCGCAGGCTAAGTTAGAGCTGTTTGCCTTTTACTCCCTACTGAGGGATTGCATACATATTGGTCTCCATGACTGATACATCTTTTTTAAAGCCCATGCTTTAATACCCACGTTTCAGCGGAATACTAACCAATTTATATTTATATATTATGGTCTTTTTTAGGCCCATATTGTTTTGGCATTCTCAACCCGGATGTGACTGGACTATTATACGGAGGTTGTAGACCACCAACCAGCACTTCTGTTTTACAAAGGGGGGTAAATCCTCTGGAGGGCAAGTGGTTAAGAACTTTGAAGTTCTCAGGATTTGGAGGTAATTGTAAAGCCCATAATCATATCCTCCCCAACCCCCCACTATATGGATTTCTTTTTAGGGCATGAAAAGGGATGAAAGAAGGGACATGTGCTCCATGGGAACCAAGTGGGGTCCGAGAGAGGCTGTGGGCTGATTAATGGTGTATGTAGAGCCTGACTCTCATTCCTGGGGATATCCGGAGATGAAGATGAGTGTCTTACTCTCTATCGCCACGGGGGGGGGGGGGGGGGGGGAGCGAGTAGTGGAAAGCTCTGCAGGCAAGGGGCAGGGGTATTGCTGGTCAATGTCAGGCTTTCTCCACACGAGGGGGGTCTGGTGGGGGCAGACGATTTTTTTTAAATGCACCAATGATTTGGATGTGTTCATAAATGCATCACAAGTGCATAGATATTGCAGCTTTGTAAGCTTGACCAAGTAAGTTTTGTCATTTATTGGGGTGTTTTTGTTTTTTTTTTGTGCTGTGCTGGGCAATCTGTTATACTTGGCTTCTTCTACTTAGCATTCCATTTATGCACATTGGTGTTTTGCTGATTGTATAGCTATGACCACCTAGACCTAAATAAAAAAAAAAAATCACACCTTTTATATTTTTTTGTGTTTTTATTCCAGAGTATAAGACAATTAATAAAATAGGTGAAGGGACCTTTTCGGAAGTTGTCAAGGCCCAAAGTTTAAAAGATGGAAACTACTACGCATGTAAGAAGATGAAGCAACTTTTCAAAAGGTATTCCAGCTTGGTGAATGATTGTTGTGTTCGGGGGTGTAGCTTGGTGAATGATTGTTGTGTTCAGGGGTGTAGCTTGGTGAATGATTGTTGTGTTCGGGGGTGTAGCTTGGTGAATGATTGTTGTGTTCGGGGGTGTAGCTTGGTGAATGATTGTTGTGTTCGGGGGTGTAGCTTGGTGAATGATTGTTGTGTTCGGGGGTGTAGCTTGGTGAATGATTGTTGTGTTTGGGGGTGTAGCTTGGTGAATGATTGTTGTGTTCGGGGGTGTAGCTTGGTGAATGATTGTTGTGTTCGGGGGTGTAGCTTGGTGAATGATTGTTGTGTTCGGGGGTGTAGCTAGGTGAATGATTGTTGTGTTCGGGGGTGTAGCTCGGTGAATGATTGTTGTATTCAGGGGTGTAGCTCGGTGAATGATTGTTGTGTTCAGGGGTGTAGCTCGGTGAATGATTGTTGTGTTCAGGGGTGTAGCTTGGTGAATGATTGTTGTGTTCAGGGGTGTAGCTCGGTGAATGATTGTTGTGTTCAGGGGTGTAGCTTGGTGAATGATTGTTGTATTCAGGGGTGTAGCTTGGTGAATGATTGTTGTGTTCAGGGGTGTAGCTTGGTGAATGATTGTTGTGTTCAGGGGTGTAGCTTGGTGAATGATTGTTGTGTTCAGGGGTGTAGCTTGGTGAATGATTGTTGTGTTCAGGGGTGTAGCTTGGTGAATGATTGTTGTGTTCAGGGGTGTAGCTTGGTGAATGATTGTTGTGTTCAGGGGTGTAGCTTGGTGAATGATTGTTGTGTTCAGGGGTGTAGCTTGGTGAATGATTGTTGTGTTCGGGGGTGTAGCTTGGTGAATGATTGTTGTGTTCAGGGGTGTAGCTTGGTGAATGATTGTTGTGTTCGGGGGTGTAGCTTGGTGAATGATTGTTGTGTTCAGGGGTGTATCTAAACTCTGTTTGGACCCTATGCAGGAAGACATTGGAACTAGAAGTCTTGTATAAAGTAGGGTGACCAGGCATCCCCCCTTCTGGGGACAATCCCTGAATATTTTCTCTTTTTGCCATTCCCCCTGTAATGAGCTCTGCTTATTTCCTCTGTCATTAGGACAGGTAATAAGGGAAAAGGCTTCAAAATCAGGCCACAAAATAACCTGCCTGAGGTTCTAACCCTTCCATGCTCCCTCCAAAATTAAAGAAAAAGGTGCATTTGGAGCCAAATCTGTACATGATGTATTGTGATTCTTTTTTTTCCATGGTCACCACATTTAGCAGTTTGTTCATTCCTCTGTCCAATTCAATAATCCCCTACGTGTGCCGTCTATTTATTTGTCATTTTATTATTATTATTATACAGGATTTATATCGCGCCAACAGTTTGTTCAGCGCTTTACAATATAACGGGAGACAATACAGCAACAATACAGTTCAATACAAGAGGGTTAGGGGGGCCCTGTTCTTTGGAGCTTACAATCTAGGAGGGAGGGGCTAGTGGTACAAAAGGTAATAACTGTGGGGGATGGACTGGTAGGAAGAGTAGATGATTCCATTATTAGCTGAGGGCAGAATAGGCTTCCCTGAAGAGATAGGTTTTCAGAGATCGCCTAAAAGTGAGCAGAGTAGGCGATAGTCTGATAAATTGGGGTAGAGAGTTCCAGAGGATGGGGGAAGCTCTGGAGAAGCCCTGGAGATGAGCATGGAAGGAGGAGACAAGGGAGCTAGAGATTATTTTATAAATTTTATTTTAAAAAAGGATGCAACAAAAATCCTAGTAATGACAATCTGTTATTATTTATTACATATCTCAAGCACAGAGCAAGTGAATAATCTGAGAGAAATCCAAGCGCTAAGGAGGCTGAGCCCACACCCGAATATCCTGGCTTTACATGAAGTGCTTTTGTACGTATTCCATTTTTCTGCTTATTTTCTGTGAAATCTCTTCTATTTTTGTTGATTCTTGTTGCAATGCACGTGCATTTTCAATTACATTTGGATCTGAAAAGCAGGTGATCCTCTTTCACAGTTTGTAGATATGAGTTCTGATTCACGGATAATCTTTGTGGATTACTCTGGATGCTTTTCTGTCTTCCAGTGACAGGAAATCGGGATGCCTGGCTCTGATTTGTGAATTGATGGACATGAATATCTATGAGCTGATAAGAGGTAAATGAATCCCGCCATTAGAAGTCTTATCGCACTGTCCTGCAGCTTACCCAATTCCATTTCCTGCTCACAACAACTCGTATGCAGGGATTTATGTAAATTGGGCTTTACGTATTCCATGTCTGATCTGGTTACTTAGATGTAAACCCTGGAAGACATTTAGGCTGGCCATACACTATACAATTTTCTGTCCAATTTCTGCCCAATTTCCTTTAGATTTACTATGTAGTGCAAGGGCCTGCCTAATTGGATACAATTGAAAGTGTTGTTAGGTTTGACCTCCCATTATATGGTTTTTGGTAAATCTAAAGAAAATTGTATAATGTATGGCCAGCCTAAGTCTAATAAATTTGTATGTATCAAAATGTTTTCAAATTTTTCTTTATCATCTTCTTTTTTTTTTTCCCAGTGCTGCTACCCTTTGCAGCCACTTCCTTTCCACGTGCACTAGAGTGATGGCTGCATGGCATCTCTCAGGGTGGGTTTCCTGGTGGTGACAACCAGGGCTGTGGATTAGGGGTACCACCAGTCCTCCTGTATGGTACCCAGACCAGCCAGGGGGCCCAGGCAGCTGGGTGAATCTGATGTGGGCAGGGAGAGTGATGGGTGGGCCCCTCCTCCGCACCCAAAACCCCCACCCCCACGGTGCTACAAGGGTCCAGTAAATATGGCACATTTACCAGCCCATTCCTTTCCTGAATGAACACAATGGGTGATTGGTGCTGATCACTCACTGTGTTCATTCACAACTGAAGCAGGGTAAACTGAGTTTTTTTTGGGGGGAGGGGCCCTGTCAGGTTGGCAGCATGGGGCCCCATGGTTTCTAACAGCAGCCCTGGTGACAACAGTGTACAATGCCCATGTAATGTGTGTTGAATCAGGCCACTTGTAGTCTGCATCAAATGCCCATGTGATAAGGTGACAATACAGGAACACAGGGACCTAGTGTTGTCACCCTATAAGTACCTGAACATGGACCTTCATGGGAAGATCAGCAGGTATTATTTTATAATGAAAGCTGCAGATTTAAGAATATTGAAAATGACTTTGAACTAACATTGTATAGGTTGTATGAGATTTTAGTGATTGGGTTCAAAAGGATAAGTTCACCTTTTGGAACACGTTACATGTTCCACCCGTATTTAGGCTAGGTTCACACCTATGTAGTTTGCAATTGATCTGTTTCTGCAGTGCTTTTTGCGGTTCGTTTTGCGTTTTTGCACAAGCGTTTTTGACACGTTTTGCGGGGGGTTTTGTTTCTTGTTGCTAGGCAGATTAAAACACATCAAAAACACACTACATGCTTTTCTGCAGCGTTTCCATTGAAGTCTATAGAACCAAAATGCAGCTTTTTGCATTTAAAAAAGTCCTTGACCCTTTCCAAAAAATGCCCGGGTGAAGACGCGGAGATATGAACGTGTCCCATAGGAAATCATCTTAAATGTACTGTAGTGCATGTCTGCAAAACGCTGCGGAAATTGCTTAGGTGTGAACCTGGGGTCAGGGTGGACCATGTTCCAGCGGTTGCAGCCTCTTCCCCTGTCTGCACCTTGTGACAGGGAGCTCGGGATCTTTTCCCCATGTCCAATGTCACTATTTGAAAATAATGTGGCCGTGTTGGGCTTCGCTCATGCATCCATGGCATTCAATCACAGTTTCCTGTGCATGCGCAAACTACAACAGGGGCAGACTGACCATTTGGAAACTCGGGCATTGCCCGAGGGCCCGGGGTCAGTAGGGGGCCCCATGAGATGACCCTGGTACCTTTTTCATAGGCTTTTTTGAATTTGGGCAAGGACACAGGGGCCCCATGATCCCCTATTGCCCGGGGGCCCCATGAGTTTTCAGTCCGCCCCTGAACTACAACTACTGTCAGCCATTGTCGGCTTGTAAACAGTCAGCCCGTATGAAGGTATGGGCAGAAAGCTGCAGGGTTTGTCATTGCACCCCTGATCCACTGATTACGGGTACAATCCTTTCCAGGCTCCTTAAGGAATAAATAATAAATGCACATTCCCCCCCCCCCCCCCCCCCCTGCAAAAATATGTGCATTTATTATTTTTTCTCAAAAAGGTAAACTAATCCTTTAAATCAGAGCTCATTCTTTTCAGTCTTGCATAGTTATACTGGCTACTCTCCAGTACTGAAAATGCTTACTCACTGCACACTGTGAGCTTCTCGCAATATGCAACCCCAATTCCCAATAAAATTTGGGACGCCATGTAAAATCTACATATAAGCAGAATGCAATAATTCATGAAACCATATTTTATTCACAAAAGAAAATAGAAAACATATCAAATGTTTAAACTGAGAAAATGTACTATTTTAAGAAAAAAAAAAAAGAGGTAATTTTGAAATTGATGACAACAAGTCTCAAAAAAATTGGGACTGAGCCATGCTTACCATGATGAAGCATCCCCTCCCCTCTTTTTAGCAACACTCTGTAAACATCTGGGAGCTGAGAAGACCGGTTGCTGGCATTCTGGGATAGGAATATTGTCCCATTCCTGCCTGAAAAAGGATTCTAACTGATCAACAGTCCTGGGTCTTGATTGTCACATTTTTTGTTTCAAGATGCACCAGATATTTGCATTGGGTGAAAGGTCTGGACTGCAGGCAGGCCTGTTAAGCACCTAAACTCTTCTACTATGAAGCCATGCCATAGCATTGTCCTGCTGAAATATGAAGGCATTAAAAAAAAAGGCATTGTCTGGATGGGAACATATGCTGCACTAAAACCTGGATATATCTTTCAGCATTCATGGTGCCTTCCCAGATATCCAAGCTACCCATTCCATACGTGCTAATGCACCTCCATACTATCAGAGATGCCAGCTTTGCCAGAGCACTGTGGGGGAAAGTGAAACAGCCATTTTTATTTATCAAACATTTAGTTTTGATTAAGCAGATATATTGGATGTATATTTTATTATTAGAAGTCTTAGTGTGCAGGGACCTATTTAGTGTGAGGCAAATTAGGCGTTTGCCTTGGGCGGCATATTTCAAGGGGACAGGTGGGGAGGGGTTACGGCGCCCACCCCCCCCCCCCCCCAGGCTGCTACAGATGCTGTGCAGTGCAAAGTGCTCCTACTCCTCTCCAGGTCCTCCAGTTCTGGGCGACAAATTCAGCAGTGGGGGGGATGGAGGCAGAGAGGGGACCCTGGGCAATTTGTGACAATAAAAAAAAAAAAAAACTTTGCCCAGCCAAGTGGACTTTTTAATCACTTTCATGTGCAGGCAAAGTAATGATCTGCACTACATGTCTGGACAATTCAAATAAAGTCCCGGTCTGCATGGCGGATTGATATAGAAGAGGCAGTGACTTAGTTGTTTGTTGGGAAATGTGGTGCAGGACATTACACCACCTGCACCCAAAAGTGATTAAATAGTCTGCTTTTTGCCTGGTTAGTTGTCACACCCATCCAATCGCAAACAATAACGGTACAAGAGTCTGGGGAATCATTTCATCAGAAAGGTAAAATGTGTGTGGCAGCCTTGTTTTCTGGCAGGAAAGGTGGAAGGATGGACATGCCATTCATATTTTTCAACCTGGGACATCTCTCATGCTCTCTCTCTCCCCTTTCTCTCCCTCCTATTTCTCCCCCTCCCTCCTATTTCTCTCTCACCTATTTCTCCCTCTCCTCCCCCCCCTAACCCTCTCACTCACTCTCCCCCCCTCTCTCTCCCCCTCTCTCTTTCCCCATCCCTCCCTCCCTCTCTCTCCCCCTCCCTCCCTCTCTCTCTATCCCCCTCTGTATCTCTCTCTCTTTTTGGATGGGGGGGGGGGGTTATTGTGTTGCCAAGAACAACACAAAAACAAAATACACTGTTATTGAGTAAGATCTGTAATTCTTGTGTTAGAATGCTATTTACACCTCCAGCTGGGAAGATTGCTCTGTCCTTTGAAGCATTGCTCCCTCAAAGACCTATTGGAAATAACATGGTTGCGTGAATGTCCATTACCATCTCAATAAATTCCACCAGAGACATAGATGGAACTTCAAACAAAGTCAGATAGTTAGGTTCCCACCCATCTTAGTACATATAAATTGTATTAGATTTCGCAACAGTTATGCAGGCCATAGATGGGTCGAAAACCGGACGTTTTTTTAAACGAAAAATCGGTCGTTCAATAGGCCGACGTTTCCACCAACGGTAAAAAAAATCGTCTGATTTTCGTCCCGTCTACAGCCGGCATTTAATTACTTCTGTCCCTGCAGAGAACTCTGCTATTATATTTGACATTAAAAAGCATAGCAGTTGCAACATTGTATCTATTTGTTTCCATTTCAGATACAGCTGTTTTTATTCGGATACAAATAGATACAATGTTGCAACCGCAATACTTTTTCATGTCAAATATAAAAGCGGACTGGAATTCTTCTTTTTCTTCTTTTTCTTGCAGGTCACGGCTCATGCGCAGATTTTTTATCGGTAAAAAGATCGGCCGATTTGCCCATCATTGCTGCGAAAATCAGCCGATTTGTTTCGAACTTTACCAATTAAAAAATTGTGCCAAAATCCAGAAAAACAGCCATCCAATTAACCCAAAAAACGGTGCGAAAATCGTCTGATTTTTTTTTCGGCCGAAAAATCGGCTGATTTTCGACCCTTCTATGGCCTGCCTTAGAGCAATACCTCTGAATCCAACACTATGCATTTTGCTGCTGTACCTGTATGTAGGTCTAACTACTTGCTTGTATAATAAATACATCTACTTTTCAATCTGGCTTTACCACTCAAAATGTTATTGAATCCCTTAAGTGTGGGTTTTCCCCGACAGCGCTGGAAGGTCCCTCTACTCTTTAGTCCACAGGACATGGCATCCATGGTTGCCAAAAAAAAGTGTCAGATTTCGATTTTCCTGACTACAGAACAGTTTTCCACTTTGCAACAGACCATTTTAAATGAGCTATTCTGTCCCTGTGAACAACCCACTGGGGTAAAACACATTTAGGGATTGTGGTTTTTCTCTGGGTAGAGACAGCAAGTATGCA